ATATAATGCTATGTGGGTGGGTTTTTCCCTGTGTTGAAAAACACAAATATATATATATATATATGTTTTAGCTTCTTCTGAAGCTAAGTTTGGAAACTTTTATTCTAAAAGTCAATTGCACAATTTGACTAGCTCCACTATGTACCCTAGACTAATGACAGAAGCCAGTCATATTTGTTTGTGCATATTAACATCACACATTAATTATAATTTTGAAGTGGTACTGGATCCCTGCCATTTACTTTCCATGTGCTTCTATTTCTTACATATTTTACATGACTAAGGATTAAAACATCATCTTGTCATCATTATGAACATAATTTCACCCAACAAGTTCTCTACTTTGGTGTTAGCAATTAAGTGCTTACTTCTCTTTCTCTCTCTCCCTTAGTTGCACAGTAAGGATTTTTGAATGTATATTGCCATCTAAGGTAAGCTTTCATATGATTCTTGCATATGAAGCTTATGTCTGTTTTCACGTCATACAAAGCCTGCCAAGTATGGCATGATTTTCATTATGTCATTTAATGAAAATGTTTTAAAATCAATAATTTAATCATTTGAATTTATATTACACTATCCTTAAACTAACAATTAACTCTTAATCTTTCCAATAATTGCTTGTTATAGTAACTCCCTTTAGTGGTACATCCACTTACTTTCTGCTAGTGAAAATGCTTCAACTGAATTTAACAGAGCATGAGTTAGGTTAATTACTTACCATAGAGCAAATACAAGTAACATAAGAGCATTTTTCATCTCCAGTCAATTATTTGCATCTAAGGATAGACTTCTAAATAAATGAGACCATTTTTACATCAGTTAATTTTATTTAAAAATGAATGATTCTTATGAAAATTTGCATTACACAAGTTTTAAAGAATGCTATAAAGCATGCCATTTTTTGTCTGTATTAAACATTTACCTAAGACTGGGAAAGCACAACTCCGAAAGAGTGATAAGGTTAAATGATGTAGCTCACTTACTTAGAGTTACAATTAAATAATGTCTCTTTAGTAGGAGAATGTTGTTAATGGATATATTGGCTTGTTCTAAATTGTGTAAGTAGAATAAAATTATATCCATATTGGATCAGTCCGTTTAATCTAGCTGAAATATACAGTTTGCTCGGGTAAAGAGAATGATGTGTTCATCTTGAAAATGTACTTTTGCTTTAAAACTTTTGGTGTGCTACAGAAATGCCTCAGAAGGTAAGTGTTATTGGGGTTGGTTGTGTTTGCATCTTGCAGAAGTGAACATCCATGCAGACTTATAAAAGGTACAGTAGTAATGCAGTTTCCTTATCACACATACCAACCTTCCCTATCGAGGAGGGGTGAGCTTTAATATTTTTAGCAAAATATTTGCCATTTTCCCACTGTCCCTCTCTGCCGGTTCATGGGGTACCCAAGACTGAGATACACCTTTTTACCCCCTGCCTCTAATGAGAGGTAGCCTTGTCTCTGGTGGTTCAGTGTTAGCTCTCTAACATCACCAGCCTGTTAGCCACTCAGGCACTCTCCTCTGGGCTAATCCAGTGCTGTCATCATCTTGTAAGTTATCATTAGGTGCACCCTCGTCCCCAAGTCCCTTTGAATCATTCTCCTGTGATGTCCAGCTCCTGACACTGGCTACTCACAGAAATCCCAGGTCCTCTGCTCTTAGAGGAGCAGCGTACCCCAGTTGACTAGTTTTACCTTAAACCACTGCTCCTGTAAAATCACGCAGTATGTATGAGCACTTACAACAAAACAAGATTTGGTTTATTTAAAAAAGGAGAATTAACTAAAAACAAGAGAGAGTAGTGGTACAATACAAAACAAAATCATAAAATGCAAAGCTGGGTCTAAAACAGACCTGGTATTGTCCTGCACACAGTGAAAAAAGTAAAATTTTCTCATGTTTCTAAATATATTAAAATCTATTTTAAAGGTCTCAGGCCGACCTGTGCCCTCCATCACACCAGGCTAAATTCTGAATAACTCCATTGTCTTCATGATAGCCCCAGGTTTACATTGTGCCAGTGTAACTAAAAACAGGTTTGGCCCTATCTCTTTACCCATATGGTGCCAGATCCAAAGCAATATGCTTTCCAAACCCTGGAAGCCCTGAGAGGCTGTGGCTGTTGACTGTGCTGTAGGATGCTTATTTAGTAGACACCACGGCCTGTCAAAGTTCCAAAGCAAGCCCAACTCCCCAGAGACAAGAAACAGAGCTTTCCAGAGGATTGGAAGGGACAAAGCAACACACAGCATGGTGAGACCCCCCCAGCTCTTATTGGGACCTGTCATCTTTGTCCAGCTTGTCCTCGTCCATCTCTCCACGAATGCAAGTCAATGCCACACCATTCTATTTTGTTGCAAGCACGTTCTTTCCATTTCTGGCCAAAGAGTTTTGTCATGGGATCGGCCCAACACGTTTTCGGTCTGCCAGCGGTCGCTTGTGGTCTCTGGTGATCCAGTCACTGATGAGGATTGTCCACCTATTGTCTTGTCTGCAGACTACATGACCCGCCCATCTTTGCTTTGCATCATACATCACTTGCACTACATCGGTCACCTCTGTACGCCTTCTGATTTTCTCATTCGGTATGTGATCACGGAATGATATCTTACACATTCGCCTTTCCATTGCTCTCTGGGTGACAGCGAATTTTTCTTCCTCTGCTTTCGTCATTGACCAGCTTTCCACTCCGTATATCATTGCTGGCAGAACAGTGGAGTTAAACAGTTCTTTCCTTTTCTTCATGGGCAGTTCATCATCCATTAGACATGTCTTTATTTTGTTGAAACTTGCCCACCCTGCCTTTTGCCTCCTACTGCATTCCCCTTCGAATGAGTTGTCTCTGCTCAGCTGCTGACCCAGGTAAATATATTTGTCAACCTCCTCGATTTCTTTCCCATTTACAGTGACGATTTCTTCTGCACAATGCTTGTTCCATATCCACTTCATCTTCGACATGTTCACTTCCAATGCGATATCATGCGAAAGCGTTTGCAGTTTCTGCAATTTGTTCTCCAGTTTTGCCATGTCCTTTGCCAGTATTACACAGTCATCAGCGAAGAGAAGATGCGTTAACTGTTCTCCGTCAATTCTGATTCCTTCTTCCCCGTTCAATTTCTTGAACAGCGACTCTGGTACTGCTGCAAACAGCTTCAGTGAGATTGTGTCACCTTGTCTGAATCCTCTGCATATAGTAATAATGCAGGGGACATTGAATAATGTTATCTCTGTTGAGCAATTGCGGTTAATTTCTTCCAGCAGGTTGATGTATTTCCGGTCAATTCCAAGTGTGTTGAGAACAGCATTGACCTCTACCGAGTCAAATGCCTTTTTGTCATGGACAAATGCAAGACACAATGGTACTTTGTATTCCTTGCATTTTTCGATGAGCTGCCGAACTGAGTGAATGTGATCAATTGTCAAATACCCTAAGCAGAAACCAGCTTGTTCTTTGTTTTTGTGCATTTCAAGATCCTTCTTAATCTGATTGAGTATGACCCAGATGAAGACTTTATACACTTGTGAGAGGAGTGTGATCAGACAGTAGTTGCTCAGTTCTTCTGGATCACGTTTTTTCATCAATAGTATTGTTTTTGATTTTTTCCATGCATCTGGAACACGCTTGCTATTGATGTAGATGGTGAACTGCTGCGCTAACACTTTGAAGAGGGTATCTTCCCCTACTTTGAGATATTCCTGGCCAAACATCATCCACTCCCGGACTTCTCCCTTTCTTTATGTTACAAACTGCATATTCAATTTCTTCCCACATAACGTCAGGAACAACTTCTGCAAGAAAGCAAAATGTATCACCTTAAAAAAACAACCCACAACTACCGAGATATGTCTTGACAATTCTGTTTTTCCTCAGAATCAAGGAAGTGAGGAAATGGGGGAAGCACATCCTCAGGGTTCACAGCTCTCAAAGATGAGCTCTGACAGCAGTATTTGACAGTATTCATTGTGTGGCGTGCCTATTGCCAGTTTGGAAGGAGCATATGCAGTGTACCCATGGCTCCCCTCCAAATATTGGCCCTGCAGTCTTTCCATGCACATTAACTCCCCTCCACACAATGCAGAAGAGGAGCATCTGGCCTTAGTGATTTCCTTAAGGTCACGGTATCAGAAAAAGATGTCTCTTTCAGGACTTGCTGGCCCCCACTCCTGTGCTCAAACTATAATAAGGGCCAGTGCCATTTGAAGGTGCTGAAACTAAAATGAAAGCTCACTGCTGAATCTTAGGAGAGGAGATTTTTTGCTATAGAAACAGGAATAATACTCATGCCAATTCTACTTCATTTATTTGAGAATTTATGGTCAAATTTTCAAAAAACTTTTTGAAAATCAGGCTACTTATCAAGCCTAAATATGGGCTTCAGAGCCTAAATTCAGGCATCTATTTTTGAGAATCCTGGTCTTTTTGTGCAATTCTTTCATACACATAAATAAGTTACACATACTTCAGTCAAATTCCAAGAGGTATAGTAAATATTTTGCTAAATGTTTATTATAAAATCCAGCACTAATAATGTGAATCTGTACTTCTTGTCTTTTTTCTGCCTGTCAAGTGTTCTCTGCACTGGACTTTCTTAGTCAAATTCTACTCTTAGATACACTTCATGCAACTCCATTGAAATGAACAGGGTTGTTTGGGATGAAGCTATGCATTGTATATCGGTGGGGTTGCACTGGGTGCAACTGATGACCGACTCTGGCCCATTACAGGTGAAATACACCCCTTTGCAAGGGGCCAGCACAAGTTCTATGCACCACTTAAAATGCCAACATAGGACTTAAATTATGAGTAACCTTTGTGCTGGCCCGTTGCACAGGGGTAAATTTCACTGTGTGTCAAGAGAAAATATAACATAGGGACTGACTAGATCTCTGTCACTTAACTGGGTCAATATTTTTCACAGAGAGCCAGAAAAATATTTTTAAAAATCTGCTTCTCTTGGTAATTTTAACCATTCGATTGTCTTGTTTCTTGTCCATAGGTGGACTTTCATTCTTCAGACTCTTAATGCAAGGGGTGCCTCCGCATATCATTCATTCATATATGCAAGAAATGCAAGCAGGCAACCCTGAGGGAAAGTGAGAGCTCATCCACAGTGCTTTCCCGCCACTGCACTGGAAACTGATAGCCAGCGTTTTAATTCTTGCAATAGCATCACAACAGTGTGCCTCCCTGCTTTTTTCCCCCCTTCCTGCTGCTGAAAATAAAAGTTACGCATGGATTGTTTTGGGGTTGAAATTTAAGCCAAGACACATTTTGTAACGTTCAGCATTGTTTTCTGTTTGATAATGTGTTTTGTTTGTTTTTTAATGAGAAAGAAGAAGAAGCTGTGTAATAAGCATGAGAAGACAATCTTCTTCTTTGTACTTTGTAGGGTTAGGCATATTTTTGTCAGAGTGAAAGTAGACTGATCAACCAGTTGCAATCCAGTAGGGCCTTGACATACATACCTCTTTTGATAATGGATCTTATTAATCTAACAGCAGTTCAAAAGAATACGGTTTTGCTATAAACTGACTATTTAATACACGTGCATTTAATGGTCATTTCAGTTGAATATTTCTTCATCTAGAAGATTTATATTTCTTATGACTCACCCACAAATCAAGTTTCTTTCAACTGAAATTAAAGTGTTTTATTTAATGTACAATAAACATGAAGTGTTTAAGACCTACCAAAATACTGTTTGATTGTTATTTTACATTATCTCACCATGTGATTATTTAAGAACATAAGAACGGCCATACTGGGTCAGATCAAAGGTCCACCTTGCCCAGTATCCTATCTTCTGACAGTGGCCAATGCCAGGTGCCCCAGAGGGAATGAACAGAACAGGTAATCATCAAGTCACCCATTCTCAGATTCTGGAAAACAGAGGCTAGGGACACCATCCCTGCCCATCCTGGCCAACAGCCATTGATGGATCTATCCTCCATGAACTTATCTAGTTCATTTTTGAACCCTGTTATAGTCTTGGCCTTCACAGCATCCTCTGGCAAAGAATTCCACAGGTTGACTGTGTGCTGTGTGAAAAAATACTTCCGTTTGTTTGTTTTAAACCTGCCGCCTATTAATTTCATTTGGTAACCCCTAGTTCTTATAAAGAAAAGGAGGACTTGTGGCACCTGAAGTGAGCTGTAGCTCACGAAAGCTTATGCTCAAATAAATTTGTTAGTCTCTAAGGTGCCACAAGTCCTCCATTTCTTTTTGCAAATACAGACTAACACGGCTGCTACTCTGAAACCTAGTTCTTATGTTATGAGAAGGAGTAAATAACACTTCCTTATTTACTTTCTCCACACCAGTCATGATTTTATACACCTCTATCATATCCCCCCCTTAGTCATCTCTTTTCCAAGTTGAAAAGTCCCAGTCTTATTAATCTCTCCTCATATGGAAGCTGTTCCATACCCCTAATCATTTTTGTTGCTCTTTTCTGAACCTTTTCCAATTCCAATATATCTTTTTTGAGATGGGGCGACCACATCTGCACACAGTACTCAAGATGTGGGCATACCTTGGATTTATATAGAGGCAATATGATATTATCTATCCCTTTCTTAATGATTCCCAACATTCTGTTAGCTTTTTTGACTCCCGCTGTACATTGAGTGGATGTTTTCAGAGAACTATCCACAATGACTCCAAGATCTCTTTCTTGCGTGGTAACAGCTAATTTAGACCCATCATTTTATATGTATATTGGGATTATGTTTTCCAGTGTGCATTACTTTGCATTTATCAACATTAAATTTAATTTGCCATTTTGTTGCTCAGTCACCCAGTTTTGGGAGATCCTTTTGTAGCTCTTCGCAGTCTGCTTGGGACTTAACTATCTTGCGTAGTTTTGTATCATCTGCAAATTTTGCCACCTCGCTATTTACCCCTTTTTCCAGATCATTTATGAATATGTTGAATAGGACTGGTCCCAGTACAGATCCCTGGGGGACACCACTACTTACCTTTCTCCATTCTGAAAACTGAGCATTTATTCCTAGCTTTTGTTTCTTATCTTTTAACCAGTTACCAAACCATGAGAGGACCTTCCCTCTTACCCCATGACTGCTTATTTTGCTTCAGAGCCTTTGGTGAGGGACCTTGTCAAAGGCTTTCTGGAAATCTAAGTAAACTATATCCACTGGATCCCCTTGTCCACATGCTTGTTTACCCCCTCAAAGAATTCTAATAGATTGGTGAGGCATGATTTCCATTTACAAAAAAACATGTTGACTCTTCCCCAAAAAATTATGTTCATCTATGTGTCTGACAATTTTGTTCTTTACTATAGTTTCAACCAGTTTGCCCAGAACTGAAGTCAGGTTTACCGGCCTGTAATTGTCGGGGTCACCTCTGGAGCCCTTTTTAAAAATTGGCATCACATTATCTATCCTCCAGTCATTTGGTACAGGAGCGGATTTAAATGATAGGTCACAAACTACAGTTAGTAGTTCTGCAATTTCACATTTGAGTTCCTTCAGAATTCTTGGGTGAATACCATCTGGTCCTGGTGACTTATTACTGTTTAATTTATCCATTTGTTCCAAAACCTCCTCTAATGACACCTCAATCTGGGACAGTTCCTCAGATTTGTCACCTAAAACGAATGGCTTAGGTTTGGGAATCTCCCTCACATCCTCAGCCGCGAAGCCTAATGCAAAGAATTAATTTAGTTTCTCTTCAATGGCCTTATCGTCCTTGAGTGCGTCCTTTAGCAGCTTGATCATCCAATGGTCCCACTGGTTGTTTAGCAGGTTTCCTGCTTCTGATGTACTTAAAAAAATGTTTGCTATTACTTTTTGAGTCTTTGGCTAGGCTGTTCTTCAAATTCTTTTTTTGGCCTTCCTAATTATATTTTTACACTTCATTTGCCAGGGTTTATGCTTCTTGCTATTTTCCTCACTAAGATTTAACTTCCACTTTTTAAAGGATGCCTTTTTGTCTCTCACTGCTTCTTTTGCTTTCTTTTAGCATTTAATTTCCACATTGCAGACATGCCAGTGGTAACCAGGATGCCATTGTGCTAGGTGTTGCACAAGTACATATGAAAACATGATCTTTGACCCAAAGAGCTTACAGTCTAGGACAAGGGGCATACAAAAGTGGGGGAACATGTATACTATTTTATATTTGCAGTGTTTTTAATTATAATAGGAATAGTGACAACTCTCCTTATCTTTTCACCAACCTGTCCCTAATTCACTGATCTGTTATACACACCACAGCAGATGTGTAATTCTTAACCGTACTGCTATTGAGTTTCTTTCCTCATCATGAAAGATGAAAATTAAGGATAAGACTTATATAGAAATTTTTAGATTAGGTAAAACAGTTACACTAATTTCTTAGTACTAAGAACATTAACCTCCAAGAGAAGCAGGTGGTGGCATTTAATGAATGTGGTATTTTTCTTTAGCTCTCCATTGAACTCTGTGAAACACACAAAACATGGGGTAACAAATAATTTGGCTGGGTTCTCAGTTATGTTCTGTCCTGTCATTTATTTACCGATTGTTACTCCAACGCCATACATAGGCTAGGTTATGAAGTGCAGTCTTGTTCAAAGGTTTATCATGTAGTTGGAATAACTGGTTGATGCAATAATAGAGAAAACATACAGAAATTGCAACACAGCAGCTGTCTGATGTTGAAAGAAGCATTAACATGAAAATAACCATTAGATAAAAATTATGAAACTAAATGGGCTATTATAATTAAGACATTCTTTGCCGCAGGCATTTTTATTGTCACTGGCAAGTCACTGCTGAGCTAGTGTTTCTGCACTACTTTATAAGCATCTAGTTACCACTTCCTCCTTCACTGTGGCAACTTGAATATCCTCATGCCCTTTGCTCTGCTAAGCTTCCCAGTCTTGATACCCTTTTCATTTCCTTCTCCTCCCACCCCCCGTTTTCATGCTTTCTGTGCATGACAGGCACTCCCACTACTAGTGCTCCAGGCACCAACCTTGCATTTCAGATCTCACTAAAAGACCCACCTCTGCTTGGAGCTCAACAAATAAAACCATGTAAAATATCAAATTCAAATGAGGGGGAAATGGAATAAAACACTAAAGATAGCTCGTTCCTCTGCATTCCCCCAATTAATCTTGTCTTTCTATATCTTCTAGACTAAGGCCTTTGAGGCAGGGGCTTTCTTGATCTTTGTGTCTAATGCAGCACCAAGCACTTTGTCTTCATTTATATAATACACAACAATAGATTGGTTATTAGGACCAGACTCTGAGCTGTGGCTAGAAGTGTTCAGTGCTCTTCGGTGGCGGGGAGAATTTGTGTGCATAGCCTCCTATGCGATGTGCATGTGTTTATGCGCACAGCTTTATGCCCACTTTATGCTTTCTCTAGGACCATGCATTTGTCAATCTACTGACTAGCATAAATTTGAGGTGCCTTAGGCCCTCTGCTCCTGAAGCCTGCTCTTGTTTATGCCAAGTGTCAACTAAGAGTCATTCCAGCAGCTGGAAATTGCTGGGGTGTAAAGAAATCCCAGTTATGCTCTTTGCATTGGTAACTGCGTGGAGATAGCATCGGAGCTACTACATCACCAATGTGTACCATCACACAATGTGTACCAGCTACCAGCTCTACATCACCAATGTGTACCATCACACAATGTGTACCAGCTACCAGCTCTACATCACCAATGTGTACCATCACACAATGTGTACCAGCTACCAGCTCTACATCACACAATGTGTACCATCACACAATGTGTACCAGCTACCAGCTCTACATCACCAATGTGTACCATCACACAATGTGTACCAGCTACCAGCTCTACATCACCAATGTGTACCATCACACAATGTGTACCAGCTACCAGCTCTACATCACCAATGTGTACCATCACACAATGTGTACCAGCTACCAGCTCTACATCACACAATGTGTACCATCACACAATGTGTACCAGCTACCAGCTCTACATCACCAATGTGTACCATCACACAATGTGTACCAGCTACCAGCTCTACATCACCAATGTGTACCATCACACAATGTGTACCAGCTACCAGCTCTACATCACCAATGTGTACCATCACACAATGTGTACCAGCTACCAGC